ATATATTATAATTATAATATATAATATATGTGTGTATATATATATATATAAATACACATATATATGTATATATTTAATCTACACTGGAGCTCAACAAAATTCCAGACATAGGCATTTTTGGTGAAAAACAATATAGGGCCAGTATCTATACCTTCCAATATTCATTAATTCATCTCTGGTCCAAGGAATCTTCAGGAACCTGTACTAAGCTGTTGGGATTTCTAATACGATTGGCGCAGTCGTGAATTATTTTTTGCTAGTCATATCTGACCAAAGGCCCTTTCCCATGTGGAGTCATAACTCAGGTTTTGCAGTAAAGAGAACTGGAGTGGCAGAACTTGAATCCACTCAGCAAGCTGTAGCACAGTGTTCGATTTATTGTTGGCAGGAGGCTTGAGTATCTATTTTGACAGCTAAAAGAACCGAAAAGCTGCCCAGGAGAATTCGAAGAGTGTACAGAATAAAGTGTAAGCTAATTAAAATAAATCCATTATGCAAATTTTAAATGCAGACCACTGGGGCTTCCTCAAGACCTTCCACACCTCCCAGCTCCTGGATAATTGATCTGGTCCGTGGTAGTTTATTAATAATATTAATAATCATACTAACTCAGATTTGTGGAGTACATTTCTTTGGAGGCTCACAGAGGGCTTTGTGTCTACCACCATCTGTCTGGCCCCATCCCTGACTCCTAGGCTGTCCTTTGTCCTCACACCACGCCGGGTTCCCTATTTCAAGCTCATGCCGTATTGTCACAGGTCACATATCATAAGCCACATATCTAGGGAATTGATGGTAGCTTCATATTCTTCTCAACTGGAAAGAAAATCCCCTGAACCCAGAAAAGAAATCTTTAAACCCAGAAAAGTAAATCAATTACTTGCCTTTGTGGACTGAGCTTGTCAACATGGAAGCAATGCTCAAACTAGGCATAGAAAAGAAGGAACAAGAATGAAGGAGACATTCCACTGGAATGGAGAAGGACTGCTGACCTTGGATATTAAGACCATCTGAAAAATTCAGATTGGCCCTTTTGTGTCACTAGATAGTTGGTCCATTTCATTGCCTGCCACTCCACCGAGATGCAGCTCAGAGATAAGGACGAAATCAGTCCATGTGGCATGTGGCCGAGAGGTAGATGTAGAAGGATGTGGTGACGTTTATTTTGTGAACATTTAGGGAGACTATCACTCTGTGCTTGGATTCATGGACTCAC